ACGGTTACGTGTGTTTCTGCGGTGTGAGAGCTCGGAGCCTTCAAAGCGCACAGTGGCAACGGGCAGAGTTTGGGCTCTTTCCTTCTGCGTGTGTGCGGGAGGAGAAGTGGAAAAAAAGAGAGGAAGGCAACGCAGAAGCGCGTCGGCACATCGGCAGAAGTGGGATTTCAGAACGGCGCGGCCCCGCACGGCAGCGGCGGGAATCGCCCGGGCAGCAAAAGAAGAAAAGAAGACGAAGAATGGAAATGAATAATCCACGCAGGACCCCAAAAGTAAAATTAAAATAAAAAGTAATCACTTCGGCAGGTGGTGTTCCTTCACTTTCACGTGTCCAGCAGCCCAAGAGGACCGTGAGGGAGTGTGTGTGTAGTTTATTACCTGCAGGAATAAAAAGAAACAACTGCCCCGGTCGCACACGCAACCACACGCACACACTCACCTCACGGTAGCCGGGCCTCGTGCCTCATTTGGGCGGTCCGTGCAGCGCACAGCAACGAGGCCGGCAACGCGTGTGTGTGTGCGGCGGCAGCAAACAGGAGGGGGAAAAGGGCGCGCCGCCCACTGGAACGTGCATGGAGTGGCGAAGCAAGTAAAAAGAGAAGGAGAAGAAAAAAATCCCTCAGAGCACAGGAGGGAGAGTGAAGAATTGATCCACAGGGACAAGCAAAAGAAAGAAAGAAAAAAGAACACTTAAATGAAGAGGCCCGCATGGGTCGCAGCGCACAACTCTCCCCATGCGGAATCACAATTCCACACTCCTTCGCTCAGAAGCCTGCCGCGACGCCACAAAGCGCCAGAAGAGTCAGCAGCAATAGCCGAGACACGCACCCACGCACAGCGCCGTCGCTGCCTGTGTTCATCGGGAACGGCCCTGTGGTGTTCTGGAAGGTGATGGAGTTGTTGCTTAAGTGCGGCGCCGCGTCGCGTGTTGGCGGGCTGCCTGGCCGCCCAGCTGCCTGAGCCGTGGGGGCCGTGGCGGCGTTGCTGGGCGCCTCGTAGACGCCGTCCGCGTCCGCCGCAGTTTGGGGGTCTGCGTCATTTTCCTTGGCGGCAGCGTTTGGCGTCTCGCTGGTGGGCGTGGCGGAAGCAGACGGCACGCCGCCAACGGCCTCTGGCGCGTGCGACGGAGCGCCCTGCAGCGCCTGGCCGTCACCCACCTGTCCCGCCGTGGCCGCACCGTCTGCGGGAGGCGAGGGCCATCGTTGCCGCTCAGAAGTTTGCGCACCGACGGCCTGCTCAGTTGCGCCTGGGCGGGAAGCACTGGCCGCAGCCGGCGCTGTCAACGGTGGGGACGCCAATGCACCGCCACTGCCTTCTGTCGCTTCCTCCTCCTCCTCCTCTTCTTTTTCATCCTCCGCCTCTTCTGCTTCCTCTGCGTCGGAGTTGTGAGTGCTGTTAGAAGGTGTTGACGCCTCGCCTGCCTCTTTGCCCGCCTCCTGCGATAACTGAGACGGCACTTCCTCTTCCTCTTCCTCTTCCTCTTCCTCTCCTTCTTCGCGGTGCTGGTTCTCTGGGGGGGATGAGGTGGGAGGCCCCGGCGGATGGCGCAGGAGCGACCTTCACGTCGCTGCTCGGCGGCGCAACTCCAAGGCCCGGCGCTTCCACGACGTCCTCCCGCGGCGCTGGGGCCCCAGCAGGCCCCGTTTCCCCTTTTTGCGACTGTTCGCCCTCAACTTTCGGGGCCCCGGCGACAGGCGGCGGCCCATTTACCGGCTGCTGAGGAGAGGCATTTGCACCGCCACTCCCCAACACCGCCGGCGAACGCTCCTCACGCACCGGTGCCTCATTAGCAGCATCGTCCTTTTTTCCCTGCAGGCCCTCCGTGCCCCCGCCGTCCTCCGTTCGCTGCTCACCGTGGGCGTCCTCAGGCTCTACTTCGGGTACAGGCTCCCCGCCCCCAGAGGTGGACACTGAAGGGGCCGCCTGCAGCTCGCCGCCTGCGTTCCCGGCAGCTGGTCCTCCAAGAGCCACTTTGCTCCCTGCGAGCTGTGTGATCTCATCTCCACCCAGTGCGCGGTTGTACAGCAGGACGCTGGAGACCGTCACGTGGTGGCTGGTCTTCGTGCCCTCCGCCCCGTCCCCGCCAACGTAAATGTGCGAGATCCTGTGCGGCTTGAAGAGTTCAGCCACCTCAGAGGCGATGCCACCATCGCCATCTTCCTCTTCATCATCTTCGTCGCTCGCGTATATCTCGTCCCCGTCGACGTACACAGACAACTCATCGTCAGTATTCATCTGCAAGATCACTTGGTAGGCTGTGTCTGCTTTCCACGTAACATCATCAACATCTGTCAAACTCCGGCTCTTACCGCCGACCGTCACTTTCCACTTCTTGTCCTGCGTGCACGACACGCCCAGGAGCACGGTGCCCTCTGTGTCATTCATCCTCACGCCCAGCAGTGGCAGAGAGCTGCCTTCCTCCGCCTCCGGCACCGCGTGGAGCATCACCGTCGCCACAAGCGTGAATCC